AGTATTATATGCAATATGTTTTGCTGACAGAAAAGGAAAAATTTTATGAATTCCAGAATAAGAAGGTTAAATTGCTTACAGCAATTATATTTTGTAATATATAAATTAATATTATATATTAGTAATATATTATATGTAAACTTACATTAACTTACTAATATTAAGCTAATAGATATTCATTATAATTAAAGTTTATGGACTTACTTGTATGCCACAGAAAAAGGATATATACATTTAGATCTGTTTATAAATACGTTCATTTTATGTCACTTAAAGGGTAATACTATAAGAAATATGTAACAAAGACAAGAAATTTGAAAGATTTATTAAAGATTTTTGTTTATTATAATCAAGGTTCTGGTTTACTTCACGTAAAAGTTTAATGGATTAATTCATAATAATTTTTAAAAGCAATGTCAAATAACATATAAAGCAAAGAATTAGGCTTCTCATGGTTAAAATAACAATTTTCCTTAAGTACTAGGTTGAAAGTTTAATTTAATTTTTTTGTGCAATCTTCTCAAAAACAAAGGTTCAATGAAATTAATTCCTGAATCAAAAACAAAGCCGTATAGCTAAAAACAAACAAACAAACAACAAAAAAAAAACCCTAAGGTTTTAACCTTTAAAATCTGTTTTAGATAGCTTAGGTATTGTTTCTCATAAGTTCCTGACAGCTTTGAAACTTCATAGAAAGCCACAATTTGTTTCTGTTTTGTAAAAAAGAAAAATACAAAAAAGGATTTATTTAATATTTTATAAATTACATAAAACATATTGTTAAAATCAGGAAAAATACTAAATTTTCTTTAAATTAAAAAATTTGTATGTCAATAATATTAACCTAAAGCTGGAAAACAAGCACATGATATTATGTTATAATTTTGTTTCAGTTGCTAACTTAGTCACAACTTTGTTTCCTTTTAAATCTAGCATCTTTAAAGCCAATTGCTTCAACTAAAGAATTCACAGTTTACCTGTAGTTTTTCATTACCATTCACATGTTTAGCCTAATATATTCTTAATATATCATAACTATACGGTATGAGTTTCAAAATTATTATGTGTTATATCTTAAGCTTTTTGGAAATGAGAATGATCAGTATGTTTAAAGATATTTTTATCTAAAGTTTTTATTTAACTTTATTTTGCTTTATATTACTTTTGTTATTAATGCCAATCAAGCTTTTCACTTTTAAGAATTATTATTATAAAGTAACCATAGCCATTTTTAAGTTTATCATTCACAGATAAGTTTTACTTTGCAAATTCACTGAAAATGCAACAAAATGGTCTGTATCAGATGCATAAAGAGGACTATAATATTTTGAACATAAATGCAATTGGACTAAATCAAGAGTTTAAAAATTTATGTAGAAACTGACAGAGTTTTCAAGTTACTGCTGATCCAGAATAATATGGAACCAAAATTGGCTATGTGGGACTGAGTAAACTAAAAGAATTATCATAAGATTTTAATGAAAACATTACTGATGTTCAATGTTCTAATTTCTAGATATAGAATACCATTTTTATTTTCCTTTCCCTCTTTTAATATAAGAAGCAGCTATTTCAAGAACTAGTAACACTATGCTAGTTCTAAAGAATGTTTTCACAGGTAAAAGGAGTTTTGACAACCAAAAACCAAAATCCCCAAATCTGTTTAGTATTGTTCCAGAGGAATATACACACACACACACATATATAGTCATAATTTTATTATTTCATGAATTTATTATGTATATGTATATTGGAAACCCTGATGGCATAGTGGTTAAGTGCTACAGCTGCTAACCAAGAGGTCAGTAGTTTGAATCCAACAGGCACTCCTTGGAAACTCTATGGGGCAGTCCTATAGGGTTGCTATGAGTCACAATCGACTCGACAGCAAAGGGTTTTTGTTTTCTTTTATATGTATATTAGAAAAGACATCAATTAAAAGATTCCCTGGAGCTCCATTATAAAAATCATATATGGTTCTCTTCGCTAGTCCTTGTGCCACTAAATTACGGAGAGTTAAGACCTGGATGCACTTCTCCCAGTTAAAGAAAGCTGCTGCTCCTACTTGGACAGTTCAACCAACTGAAGGACTCAAACTAAAATTCAAAAATTGGCAGAATAAAAACAAGACAAAATCTATCATGTACAACTGATCCCAAGATCCAGGATCAGGCTTGTAAACCATTTATTCTCAAGCACTGGAACATATAAATAGAAATACAATTCTTGGACTTTGCATATTTCTTACTCTAGTATTTGCTATCCTTGTGTCTTACATACCTTTAAGGTCTGTGGACTAATAACGTTCCCTTGGTGAATGAATGTTATTGAAATTGATGTTTTGTGCCTAACCCTCATTGTTTTAAAGTAGCTTTGACCTGTCAATTATGTTTTATTAGTCGATAAGACAGATTTGTAATGGTAAGACTTTCTGTGTATTTCAACCTAAAAACTTTCCTTTATATTTTTCTTATTAGTATTTTAATAATCATTAAGTTATTTGCTGCACCTATTCTTGTTTACTAATATATGCTCTTGTTTTAAAGAGCCTATTTTAATTTCTCAGTCATTTATATGCTAATTACTTTTGTTTATTTCTTCAGGGCAATTTTCCTCCATTATGAAGCTTTTCTTAATTTCTTTGTTGCTATGCTTCATAATAACCACTGGGGTTTGAAAAGATAATGCTTTTGTCAGATTGTCTCAATCTATAGCAGACACCCCCTGTTGCTCTTTTATTAACACCACTGGAGAAATGGAGGAAGACATTCATAAAGTACACCAACAAGTGGTTTGCTTCACTCAATTCCTTCTATGGCTGTACCTTCTTTTTCTGGTTTATTCAGTTAGTTACCAAAAAGAATAGGGTCATGGCTGAGAACTTTATTGAAAACTGGAATAGTTATTCTGATAATAACTGTAATTGTAATTATCAAGTGTATTATGAAATACGTGTCTAATTTAGGAAACTCTACACCTCCAAAGAAGCTTGTGTACATTAATTCCTCTCACTTTTGTAACACGGTGGATGAGTCCTGCACCCTATATTAGCTTCAATAAAAAGGTCAAATATTCCTCCAATTTGGCCTAGGTCTCTGAGTTATTACCCTCCCAGATAACAACACTCAGACAAGACGCATGGCAAAGAACCAGATGGTATCCAACTAAGTAACTAAGTCATGAGTTTAAAGGCCTGAAGCAGGACAGGCCACTATCTAGGATATAAAGACCATGCTAAGGACATATCATAATAAGATCACTGAAGACGGCTGCTTGGACATAGCATGGTGAGTTTCCCCAAGCTGCCCTACGACCAAGGAACCAATGGTCCCCAACTATGTAGAAAGATGCTCAGCACCAGGAATAAAATAAGCATAAACCATGAAGGTCACCACCTGGAAGCAGCATAGCAACAACCCATGCAGAAGAAAGCATGCCCATAAGTGTGATCCAACGATGTTTGATCAAAATACTTGATCAAAAGGATGATATAAAGTTCTTAAAAATTATTTTGAGGTATCTGATCTGAGAAAGAAAAGCTAAAGTGGGGTCCAGCCTTGAAATTCACTCTGTGTAAGAAACCTGTAGAACCCGAAAACTAAACTGGTTAGGGCAGTTCTGTCTGTTATCTGATATCTAAAAGAATGTGATTTTTCCTTGCATCAAAGCCAATGAGCTTTTATGTAACTGTGACCACTCTGTGAACTCTTTATGGTAACTAAATGGCAACTAACCAACAAAACACCCATATCACTAAGCTATCTTACCTCACCACGCACCAATCATAAATGTGTTAGCTTGTTTCCCAAAGAACCTTAACCCAAACAGCTCTTCTCTATGGTTTATTCCCAAGGAGTCTTAAAACAAAAGTTGTAAGCCACCAATCAAAGTAATGTCACTACGTAGTAACTAGTCGACAAAGCTCTGTAAACCAATCATTATTAAGGTCCCACTTTGTTATCCTGCCTTTGACAATGATGTGTCTTTACTTCCTTCTGTAACAGCATATTAGAAACTCCCTGTGTGTGAGTTAGTGTATTCTTGTGCCTGGTGCACACTGGTAGAATTCCTCATTGCAATGACAGTCTTTGTCTTGACTTAATAAAAGTCTCTTTTAATTAAATTTGAGTCTGGGGTCTTTTCTCCTATGACAGGAGAAGCATTGTTCTGTGCAGCTGGTTACTCCTCTGGTGGGGATGGGGCATCAGGCTGGCATAGTTCCTGGCATTGTCCCTTGGATGCATCACTTTCCTCTATTCTAGTTCTTGGTCCACCACACCACAGGAACCCCATGAAGTTATGAGTCTCATTGAAAAGCAGCAACTGGCCCTGTCTTAGTCATAAGTTTCTTTTGAGTTAGTCCCTGAGAACTTGATCAACTTGAGAAGCAGGGATCTAGTCAGCTAAAGGTGAAATATTGGATCAAGTTGAGCCTTTCCAGTAATGCCAGTTGTAAAGTCCTGAGCGGGCAGTGAGTCACCCTAACCCTGCCTTTGACTGGTAAACACCTGTTACACTGACCCAGCCACTCTTCCCTCACTCTGGCCTCCTTTTACTTATGAGGGGTGGTACCGGGGCTAGGATGAAGGGTCAGTCACAGTCACAAGGATGTTTTCTCTGCAAAGCTGAGGAGGAATGCCTGGCTGGTCCCAGACCACAAGGAAGAGAAATGATGGGTTTGTGGCTCTGGAGCAGATGTTGGTGTTTGGGAGCTATGCTGAATGGGCAGAGATTGGGATGATGAGACTGAGAGGAGGAGGAGGGGTGGGTGCTAATGGGAAGAGGAAGAGAATAGGGGCCCTGGGCAGACAGGTGCCTTGGAGCCTCTGAGAGGAGGGGCTATCGATTTCCAAAGAGTCAGCAGGGGGAGGAAGTCAGAGCTTCCAGAGTGGCCAGGACCTACATCAGGAGCATATAAGTCTTACAACATCTCAGCTTTGCCTCCCGTTACTACTGGCCCACAGGACAGCACTTTAAGGGCCAGGGAGCAGCACTGAAGGATGAAGGAAGGAGAGGTGAATGATGACAAGGCCTATTTCCGCACAGAAAACCAGTGTGTCTCTCTGCATCCCAGAGGTGAGAAAACTGGGGACTGGATTTCTTGTGCATACTCTCTGAGCCCCTCCCTGGCAGGCCCGAGCTTTGTTCATAGCTCTCCTGACCTCCAGAACAAACAGGCAAAGGCAATGGTCGGTCAGACTGAGGATGGGGACCCTCAGTCCCCACAGGAAATCCCCCAGGACTCCTCTCCATCCCCCAGACTGGGGAAGGCAACCTGGCAAGAGAAAGGGATGAACTTTTAATTTTAATTCCAGCTTTTAATTCCAGCTCTGTACACTGGGTTGGCCCATGAAATCTCCAGGCTGAGATCTCTCCACCATTGAGGGGATATCCCTGTACACACACCCCCACCTCAGGCACAGACCTTCTAAGGCCACCTATAACAGAGGGAAGCCCCAGGACCCTTTAAGAGAAAAACACTTTTTCACATTCCAGGGATCCCCCGTCAGTTGGTGGGTGAAGCAGCAGCCCCAAAAGGCTGTGAGTCTTGTTCTAGTCAGGATCCATGAGTGAGACTGGCACCAGACTCCAAGGTCAGGGTTTCTGACCCCCCTTTTTCCCTCTCCCCTCTCCCTCCCTTGAAACAAAACTGTGCCAGGTTCTGTGTCCTGTGTGCCACCCTCCTCCATTTTCTGAGAGCTGTGGTCTTGGCTGTACCACTCGGCTTTGGGTGGCTACAACACACCACAGTTAGTTCTCATGAGCGTTTCAAGATGTCTCCTTTTCCTTTTCCATAACCACCCTGTATGATAAGCATGGCAGCACACTCTCGTCCCCTGCAGGCATGGACTCTGATGCAGTGGGTCCTGCAGCACCCAAGGTGCGGAGGCTTGCCCAGGCCACCCTGGCATTTCTGGCTGTGACCATGGTCTCCTCCCTTGTGGCTGTCTTGGTTGTGGGTAAGCTCCTAGGTGACCCAAACCCCACTGACTCTCCCTCTTTCCTTCTGCATAAATGTCCCAAAGTGACCAGACACACACCCTCTGGGGCCCTCTGCTCCCAGAGGATCACCCTACCTTCAGCCCCATGCCCAGTCCAGACCTTTCCAAACAAAGACCAACCAAACAGAAGTCACTACCCAAGGAGGATCCTCCCCAGAACTGAGGCCTCATGAGGGTAGACTCTGACAGGGCCTTGGTGCCAAATTCCTCCTTTTGGAACCCTAACTGGGGGTGGGACAGTTTGTTCCCCTAGGCCCAGGACTGAGGGTTTGTGCTGACCAGGACTGGGGTGTTTCAGCTTTACAGCACCCAAGACCTGCACCAGAGGCAGATCCCTCATTCCAAGAGTTTCTGAAGGGACACAACACCACTGGGCACCTGCTTGTGGACCCAGACAGTGAGTAGCCATGGTGGGGTGGGGGCTGGGAGGGAGCCAGGGCATTGGGATGCCCAGAGCCCAGGACAAGCCTCTACGCACCCCTTCCAGGCCTCTGAATGGGTTCCACCCTCCTCACAGAATCTTTTTTTTTAATTAGCTCTATTGAGATATAATTGACACATAATAAAATGCCCATACTTAAAGTGTACAATTTGATAAGTTTTAACATATATATGCACTGTGAAACTATCACCACAATCAAGATACGAACACATTCATCAACCTTCCCTCCACAAAATTTACTGTGGTCCTTTGTAATACCTACTTCTCCCTTCCCTGCTTCATCCCCTGGCAGCCACTGATCTACTTTCTGTCACTATAGATTAGTTTGCACTTTCTAGAGATTTATATAAAAGGATGTACACCAGAGGTACTCTTTTTTGTCTGGCTTCTTTCATTCAGCAAAATTATTCTGAGATTCATCCATGTTGTTGTGTGTATCAGTAGTTCATTGCTTTTTACTGCAGAGTAGTATTCCATTGTATGAAGGGCCCTTGTGGTGCAGTGGTTAGGAGCTTGGGTGCTAACCAAAACGTTGGCGGTTCAAACACACCAGCTGCTCCATGGGAGAAAGATGTGGCAATCTGCTGCTGTAAAGATTTGGAAATCTTATGAGGACAGTTCTATTCTGTCCTATAGGGTCTCTATGAGTCTGAATTGGCTTGACAGCAACGGGTTTAGTTTGGGTTTGTTTTTTATTCTATTGTATGGATATATCACAATTTGTTTATCTATTCGCCTGCTGATGAACATTTTGATTGTTTCCAGTTTTTGGCTATTTCAGATAAAACTTTTGTGAGCATTCATGTGCAAGTCCTTTTATGGACGTAAGCTTTCTTTTCTCAGATGTAAATACTTAGGGGTAGAACGGCTAGATCACATGGTAGGCATATGTTTAACTTATTAAGAAACTGTCATATTCTAAAGTGGTGGTACAATTTACACTCTTACTGGCAGTGTATAAGAGTTCCAGTACCTTCACACCTTTGCCAACACTTGGTCATTTAAAAGAAAAAATTTCAGACATACGAATAGGTGTGTAGTAGTATCTCATTGTGATTTTAATTTGCATTTGCCTGAGGATTTTGAACATTTTTTCATGTGCTTATTTGCCATCTGTAAATCTTTTTTGGTGAAGTGTCTGTTCAAATGTTTTGCTCATATTTTATTATTTTTTTAAAAAAATTCAATTTTTATTATTAAAATTTGGAAGTTCTTAATATATTCTGGATACAAGTCCTTTGTTAGTCATGTGATTTGCAAATATTTTCTCTCAGTCTGTGGCTTGTCTTTTTATTTTCTTGACAAGATTTAAATTTTGGTAAAGTACAATTTACCAATCTTTTTGCTTTTATGAATTGTACCTTTGGTGTTATATCTGACAAATCTTTCCTAACCCAAGGTAGCAAAGGCTTTCTCTTGTGTTCCTCTCCCTTGTGTTTTCTTTTAGAAATTTTATAATTTTTAGTTTTATGTTTAGGTTTATGATTCATTTTGAGTTAATTTTTGTATAACGGTACAATGTCTGTCTTGAATTCATTTTTTTTTTGCATTTGAATATCCAATTATTCTATTTGTTGAAAAGATGATCTTTTCCTCATTGAATTGTCTTTGCACCTTTGTTGAAAATCAATTGTCCGTATATGTGCAGATCTATTTCTGGATTTTTTGTTCTGTTCCATCAATCTACTTGTCTGTTTTTGCAAGGCAGAATCTTTGACTGGACTTTCCACACATTTGAAGGCTACCTGGCCCTGCCTGGCTTGACCTCAGCACAGTGAATGAGGCGTCACACATCCACCTAGCCAAGGCTTAAGGAATAGGACAAGGTCCTCCAGAAAGTGTCCCTACCCACTTGAGTTCTTGTTTCTATTCCTGAGGGAAGGCTGGAATCAGGAGACAACCACAAATGTCTGAGATTAGTGCTACCTCATGAGGTGAGCAAAGGGTGATAGCAGGACCAGGGGCAGCTGCAGGTGGGGTTGGTGGGAAAGACTCTGCAGATGAAAGGGGCTTTACCTTGAATGACCTCAATGACCAGGCCTTTTACCCAGGGCTCCCATATCCCCAAACTGTTCTGTAGGGACACTTGCCCTATGTAAGATGTGGAGGGGAGTGGGCAGCCCTTTAAAGGCCTGTTAAGTTCAGCAGTCCAGTGTCTCCTGGAGGGTGTGGTGGGCTTCTATCCTAGCCCTGTGGATTGAACAGGGTGCTTCTGCCAGGGGCACCCATTTTGTTTCATTTCTATTTTTTTTCCCCATGGAATTTGTGATCAGAAAATTTGTGTTTTAAAAAAATCTACATGGTTTTTAGGAAGTAACAATGATGAACCAAAAGGGTCCATGCTTGGCGTACAAATATAGTGCAGGCCTAAACATGGGTTTTATCCATATCTATTTTCTTTTTCATAATGACCCACTTAATGGTGAAATTTCAGTGGAATTAAACTTCAACAGCTCTAAATTATGTAATGAGTTACTTTTCAAGTTCAGTTACAATGGCAAAATACTCCAAGCCTTACCAGCATGACTCTTGACTGTTAGTTGGTTTACAGCAGGCAAATATTTCAACCTTTCAGACTCCTTAGTTGATGTAGGTAGCCAATTAAGTATTTTTTTGGGCCCACATTCTCAAGTGGCCCATCCCTAGGGTCAGGGAGGCTGCAGTGACCAACAGGCCACTGGAGGAGCACTCAGGGCTGTGGAGTAGACATTTTTCCTTGGAAATCTTGAGAATGCTCTGATTGGCCTATGCAACACTTCCCTATGTAATGGGCCTCTGTGGCTGACTTGTCCATTTCCTCCCCTGCAGGTTCCTACCATTTTGTCAGGGTGGCTGAAGTGCAAGAGGCTATCCAGATGTTCAAAGGGCATGTGGAGAACTCCAGCAGCTGGAGTGTGGAAATCCAGATGTTGAAGTGCCATGTGGACAACGTCATTTCTCAGATTCAGATGCTCAGCGGTCACCTGGAAAATGCCAGTGCTGACATCCAGATGGTAAAAGGAGAGCTAACAGATGCCAACACCTTGATTATCCAGACCCAGATGCTAAAGAGTTCCTTAGAGGGAGCTGGTTCTGAGATCCAGAGGCTCAAGGGAGATCTGGAAAAGGCAAATGCTCTAAACTCCCAGACCCAGAGTTTCTTAAAAAGTAGTTCAGAAAGCACCAGCAGTGAGCTCCACATGCTAAGCAGAGGTTTAGAAAATGCCAGCACTGACATTCAGATGTTAAAAGCAGGCTTGGAAATGGCAAATGCCCAGGCCCTATTGGTAAATAGTAGTTTAAAGAATGCTAGTGCTCAGATCTACCTTTTGAGAGGCAATCTGAATAGTGTCAACATTTTAAGGACCCAGACACAGGCTTTAAGAAGTAGTTTGGAAGAGGCCAGTGCTGAGATCCAGAAGCTTAAGGGAGGTCTGCAAAATGCAAGTGCTGCAAATTCCCAGACTGAGACTTTCATAAGAGGCAGCTTAGAGAAGATCAGTGCTGAGATCCAGTTGCTAAAAGGTCATTTAGAAAGGGCTGGTGATGAAATGCATTCATTAAAAACAGATTTGGAAAAGGCCACGGTCCAGAGCCAAATGATAAACAACACTCTGGGGCAGACGAATGCTCAGGTTCAGGTATTAAAAGTAGAGCTGAAAGTCGCCAATACCTTAAATTCTCAGATCCAAGTGTTAAATGGTCACTTGAAAAATGCCAGCAGTGAGATACAGACCCTAAAACAAGGAATGAAGGACACTGTGGCCTTAAAAGCCCAGAACTGGACCCTAGGAAACAGCCTGCAGAAGGCCAGTGCTGAGATCCAGAGGCTTAAGGGAGGTCTGCAAACTGCAAATGCTGCAAATTCCCAGACTGAGACCTTTGTAAGAGGCGGCTTAGAGAAGACCAGTGCTGAGATCCAGTTGCTAAAAGGTCGTTTGGAAAGGTCTGGTGATGAGATTCACTCGATAAGAACAGATCTGGAAATGGCCATCGCCCGGAGCCAAATGGCAAATAGAAGTCTGGAGCAGACAAATGCTCAGGTTCAGGTATTAAAAGTAGAGCTGAAAGTCGCAAATGCCTTAAATTCTCAGATCCAAGTGTTAAATGGTCACTTGAAAAATGCCAGCAGTGAGATACAGACCCTAAAACAAGGAATGAATGACACTGTGGCCTTAAAAGCCCAGACCTGGACCCTAGGAAACAGCCTGCAGAAGGCCAGTGCTGAGATCCAGAGGCTTAAGGGAGATCTGCAAACTGCAAATGCTGCAAATTCCCAGACCAAGACCTTTGTAAGAGGCGGCTTAGAGAAGACCAGTGCTGAGATCCAGTTGCTAAAAGGTCATTTGGAAAGGGCTGGTGATGAGATTCACTCGATAAGAACAGATTTGGAAATGGCCACTGCACAGAGCCAAATGACAAACAGAAGTCTGGAGCAGACAAATGCTCAGGTTCAGGTATTAAAAACAGAGCTGAAAGTCACCAATACCTTAAATTCCCAGATTCGGGTGTTAAATGGTCAGTTGAAAAATGCCAGCAGTGATATACAGTCCCTAAAACGAGAAATGAGGTACACTGTGGCCTTAAATACCCAGACCCGGACACTAGGAAGCAGCCTGCAGAATGCCAATGCTGAGATCCAGAGGATAAAACGTGACTTAGAGGACACCAAAACTCTCATTGCCAAAATCCAGGGGGAGAAGAGCCACCTGCAGATGCTCCATGCAGCCTCTGCTTTGCAGGAGCAGCTGCAAAAGACCCAAAGTAAGTCGTGGGCAGGGGGCCGAGCTGGGGAGGATATTGAGGAGGGTAGCATCCTCGGGGACTCTCCTGGCCCTTCAGCCTCTTTGCTTATCTCAGCATGCGATCTCTCTAGGAAGGAGTATGGGTGGCCCAAAATCCAATTAAATAGGCTTCTATGTGCCAGGGAAGTGGTGGAGATGATATGAGCTTTCAAGTTGTTTATAATCTTCCCACAAAATCTCTCTTTTGTTTGGGAAGCAAAATCTGTGTGATGTAGACACGGATTAAGGACAATGTTAACTAGAGGAGCCTGACATCACTAGTGGGGACATAGGAAATGGGGACAGCCTGCCTGTTTCTGACTTCCCACTATCACAAGTAATGTAATCTTGAGCAAGTTGCTCACATTTTCTGAGCTTCACTGATCTTATCTGAAAAATGGGGACAATAATATTTGCCTCACAGTGAGTTAATATATGTAAAGCATTTAACATGGTGTTCAGCATTCATGCACTCACCTGACAAAATGTTATGGAGCATCTACTTTGTGGCAGGAGTATAAAAAAGAATAAGACATGATATCTGCTCTTAAGAAGCTTACTGGTTAGTGGATGGAGACAGACCTGACAGCAAAGACATGCAGAGAGGTGCAAGAGGTTTTAAGTTAGAAGCAGGTACTGGGAACTAAGGGTGGGGGAGGAGCAAAAAGAAGGAGGAGAAAGGATCTTCTAGGAGGAGGGATCTTCTAAGGGGAAGAAGAAATCTTCTAGGGGAGAAGAAATCTTCTGGGGGAAAGGTATCTTCTGGGGGGAAGGGATTTTCTGGGGAGAAGGAGGAGGGGAGAAAGGGATCAAAAGATGTCTTGTTGAGAAGATAGCTCTTAAAACTGAGTCCTGAAGGTCTAATAGGTGTTCACCAAGCAAATAGGGCAAGACAGTAGCAGGTTCACAGGCATGGAGGCACGACACAGAGAGGTTCAGGGGACTTCAGGCAGTTCCTTTTGGCTGGACTGTGGGTGACAGAACAGCTTGATCAGGCACAAAGCCAAAAGGACAGTAGGCAAGCAGGGGCCAGAGTGGTGGCCTTCAAAGTGTTTTGAATGTGACCATAGCATGAAATTCATTTTACAATGTGACCCAGTATAATTATGTATCTGTCTAGATACACAGGTTTTTAAAAGCAAAACTTTTACCACATGAACTCAGTCTGCTATTCTATATTCTATTCTTAAAAAAATAAAAGCCTGTCATGACCCACTAAAACAATTTTATGACCCACTAATGGATTGGTAATTACAATTTGAAAAACACAGGGCTAGAAATGTAGGCAGGCCTGGAGGGACACAGGGTAGATATGGAAGGGCTCTGAGGCCATGGGATGATCATGGGTTTCATCCTTCAGGAAATGAGGAGCCACTGAAGGGTTTTAAGGAGGACCTCGAGGTTCTGACTTGGGTGGCTGAATGAATGGGTCCCCAACTGAGACAGAGGATAAAGGTGGAAGAGGAGCAACAAGATTGGGACATGCTGAGTCTGAGGCACTTTGGAGATATTCAAGTGGCAGGCTGTCTGACTGCAGGCTTAGATCTGGGAGTCCTGGATATGTTCACTCTGGTTGCACCATTGGGAGTGCGGAAGTTTGCATGAGACAAAATGCACCCTGCGAAGAGGGCTGAGGGTGGAATCAGGATGTTCTGGTGGCCAGAAGGGAAAGAGGTGTTTTTGAAGGAGACTGGAGAAACTTCTTAGAGAGAGGCTGGAGGACACTGGGAGATGAGCCGTTGGGGAATCCAAGGAAAGAGAGAATTTCAAGAAAGGAGGGGTTAGTTCTGGAACAGGCCAAAGAGAGGCCAAGCAAAATAAGAAAGGGTCCACTGACTGGGCAATTAGTAAGTCATCAGGATGAAGTTTCAATGGAGAGTGGCGTGGAGGTGAGACCACAGGCATTTGAATTGAAGATCAGGAACATGAGTCTTTCAGGGACCCTGCCTAAGAAGGGGAGATGAGGATGAGGTGAGGGAGGTGAACATGGTTGAGGGAGGGATTAAATAACAACACGAATCATCTATTTTTCCATTACAAAACCTACATATTAACTATAGACAATGTAGCAAATATTGAAAAATAGAAGGATGAGAAAATAACCACCTGCATTTCCATGAACATTTCTATATTTTCCATATGAATCCACTGTTAACATTTTGGTGAACTGCCTTGAGAGGATTTTCCAGAGAATGGTTGGCTTGATATGAGGCCTACAGAAAGAAACCAGCAAAGAGGGGGAGGTTGGTGATATGGGAGAGAGAGGAAAGAGAATCAAATGCACAGCTGAGTGATTAGACTTGAATAAGTTTGGGACTATCCTTGAACTTCTGAGGCTTGAGGGGACAAGATGTGGCAGTAGATGTTTACCCAAGTTTGTAGTTGTGGGAAGACAAAACTGAGAGTTGATATTTAATGGCGTCTATTTCTGGGATGGTGGTGGTTCAGTGGTATAATTCTCGTCATCTATGCAGAAGACCCGAGTTTGATTCCTGACCAGTTCTCCTCAGTGCAGCCACCACCTGTCTGTTAGTGGAGGCTTGCATGTTGCTATGATGCTAAAAGGTTTTAGCGGAGCTTCCAGACTAAGACAGACTAGGAAGAAAGGCCTGGCAGTCTACTTATGAAAAATCAGCCAATGAAAACCCTATGGATCACAATGGTCTGATCTTTATCCAATTATAGGGATAGCACAGGACCAGGCAACGAACGTTTCGTTCTGTTGTGCGTGGGGTCTCTGTGAGTTGGGGACCAACTCCATGGTAGCTAACAACAACCACATTTCTGGATAGAGTAGGAAGTCACTTGTTAGAGAGGAAGGTGGACATAGGGAGCTGATAGAGAGAAGGGACAGTTTGGAACAGTTGCTGAAGAGACGGGGTTAACAAATGAGGGGCTAAGTAGGCAGCACCAATGACCCAGTCTGCTGCTGCTTCCTGTTCTGCTCATCACTAGCCACGACAGTGGCCAGAAACCTGGAAGTCTTTCCTTATTAACACCTTTTGCAGTCCCCCCTGTTGCCCTTCTAACTTGCTGCTATGTCCAGTGATTCTCCACCTGTGTGCCCTCAAGTTGATTCCAACTTATAGTGAACCTATATATGACAGAGTAGAACTGCTCCATAGGATTTCCTAGGCTATAAACTTTACGGGAGCAGATCGCCAGGTCTTGTCTCTTGCGGAGCCACTGGTGGGTTCAAATAGTCAACCTTTTGGTTAGCAGCCAAGTGCTTAACCATTGCGCCCCCAGGACTCCTCCTGAAATCACCAATGGAACTTTAAAAATTCTGACGCTTGGGGCCCAACTCCAGTAATCTGATTATTTTTGGTCTGGGATGCAGCATGGGCCTCAGGAATTTTAAAAAAATGCTCCCCAGGTGATTCTAACAGGCCCTTTTTCTTAAAGGGCCAAACAGTAGATGTTTTAGGTGTCTGGGCCATACAGTCTCTATTGCAACTACTTATCTCTGTGGTTGTAGTGATAAAGCAGCTGTAGACAATCTGTAAGTGAATGAGCGTGGCTATGTTACAATGAAACTTTATTTACAAAAAGGGGTTGCCCAAGGAAAATAGTTTGCCCACCCCTGGTTTAGATTACTGGTTCTCAGACTTTAAAAAGCATCAGAATCACCTGGAGGGCTTGTTAAAACACAATTTCAGATTCAGCAGGTCTGCGGTGGACCTGAGCGTTTGCATTTCTACCCAGTTGCCAGGTGATGCTAATGCTGCTGGTTCAAGCACCACACTTGGAGCACGCCTGGTTAGAACACTCATCATCTCTTACCAAGACATTGGCAACTGTGTTTTGATTGGTGTTTCTGGCCCAATTAGGATTGCCTTCTTCCTGTTCAGCATTCGCACTGCCATGGGGTTGAAAGGTTTATAGTACAAATCTGAGCATATTACCATCCTTCTTAAAACGCTTCAGGGCTTCCTATTGCTCACAGGGAAAACTCTAAACTCGTTGACTGGGATGTATGATGCAGTGCTGGGAAACTGCTCCAAGTCCATCTCCTATCTCTTACGAGCTGGCCATACCCTAGTACTTGAAATGATCAGGCCATGACATGCTGTTTCATGTCCTCATGCCTTTGTGCCTGCTATTTCCCCTGCCTGGAACGCTCTTCTTGGCACCGACCACGTGGAAAACTTTCTCAGTGTTTTAAGACTCAGCCCAAGTGACATTTCATCTAGAGTGTCCTTTCTAAGCCATACTCACTGTCATGCCTCCACTCTAACATGCATATGGTTTTTAACTAATGCATCTTCAACACCTTTTTGACATCTATCTCCTTTACTAGATTGTATATTCCTTGAGGGCATGACTCATGTTTTATTGATCTTTGTATAACAGTACCTGGCTCATAGACGTTAAGGTGTGTTGAACAAAGAACAAATAAATGAATAAGAGAGTCTGTTGTGGCCTCATTTCAAACAGCTGTGGTATAGATGATATTAAAGAGTGGCAGGGAGCGATGAAAGAGTTGAGAGCGTTGGGGCTTGTGCTCACAGAATGAGCTATTAGAGTTTGGAAATTGTGAGGTTAGGCAGACCAGGTGATGACAAAGTCCCAGATATGGTCATGGGTGTGGGCAGCTGAAGAAGATGGAGATGAAGTCAAGGAAATGAGTGGGGCCATGGGACGGATGTAAATTATCCCAGGAAGATGACAGGAATTGAAGTGGCAAGGACTGTAAGGTAACTGTAAGGTAACAGCTATGAGTAAAGAGGGTGGGATGGCCAGAGAGTATGAGTCTCAAAACAGAGTGTTGTCTGAGTATCAGAGCTGTCTGAGTATCCCAGGAGTGACTGAGCCCATGCCTTGAAGCTGCTGCTCCCTGGAGTATTGGGTAGTGGAATGGGGGTACAGCCTCAGCAGGCCTAGCTCCTGGAGAACTGGGCATCACGGATTGCATGGGACTGTGAACCTCAGTGGTCAGCCCCAGGAGAGGTCAGAAAGGGCAGCTTCAGACATCCACCTTTAGCCTGATTCCCTCTGTTCCCCAACCTTTGTTCCAGATCAACTTCTCCAGCTGATCCTGCAAGGCTGGGTGGTCTACAGAAGTAGCTTGTATTACTTTTCTCATGACAAGAAGTCTTGGAACGAGGCTGAGCAGTTCTGTGTGTCCCAGGGAGCCCACCTAGCATCGGTGACGTCTGAGGAAGAGCAGGTCAGAGCTGAGGGCTTGGGGTGGTTCTGATGGACCTGGTGTGTGATGAGACTTTGGTGCTTTCAACACCTCCCTTGCAGAGAAGACATGGCAGAGAACTCCATGTCTCCTCTGTCAGTCAGGGAGCAAATATTTTTGAATTCCTATGAGCATCTTGCACTGGAGGTAGAAGCACGGACAACAAACTCCAACGTCCTCAGTGAATGAGGGAGATAGACAGGGCAACAGATGTCAGCATTGAGGAAGAGCAAAGGGAAGTGGAGCTGAGTGGTTGCGCTTAAAGTATTGGGGAGCATGTGTCCCTCGCTGCCCACTCATTTTCCCCTCAGGATTCCATTCCAGTCAGCAATCTTGATTTTAATGTCAGTTAATCCAGTAGCCACGGAGAGCCTATGAGCAGGAGACCCAGGCTTCTTGGGAATGCGAGGCACACACATGTGAGTTTGAGGACCACCAAAGGCAAGGGTCCTCATCAGAACTTGCTGGGGTTATAAAAGGACCAATTCAACTAAAACTGCCCACTGCCTATGGCTCTCCTGAGATTGTTGTTATAGGTCTGTCAAAGGGTGTGCTACTTTGTAAAACACATCTTAATAAGCTGTGGCCAGATCTGTCTCCTCCCAGGAAAACTACACCCCTCATCAAGGGCAGGGATTATCTAGGGACAGTCAACATGGGGGAAGCTGAATTTCCCCTGAGGGGCCTGGCTACTGAGAAGAGGGCTTTATGCCCCTGGGACCAGGGAGTGAATGGCATGGACTCCTCTTCCATACCACATGGAGTACCAGCTCCTCACACACTGTTACCAGACAATAACCTTGCCTTTTCTCTACAGGCCTTTCTGACAAAGACCACAAGCACCTCTTACCACTGGATTGGCCTCACTGACAGGGGCATGGAGGGCTCCTGGCGCTGGGTGGATGGGACGCCCTTCAATGCTGCCCAGAGCAGAGCGTGAGTCCAGTGCTGTCTGGTGCTGTCTTGTGTGTGTCCCTACCGTGTGTGTGTATCCCTGCCCAATAAGTGTGTGTGCGCTTGCATGTATGCATACATGTGTGCATGTGTGTGTGTGTGCATGTGTGGGTGTACACAGGCCTAGTGTGTTCCTTGGCTAGACCTGTTCTCAGAGAAGTGTCAGGAGGGGATAGGTTCTAGGGCTGGGTCTGGCAGGAAACCTGTAAGTGGGTCTTCCTCCCCCCCCCCCATCCTTTTACCTGCTCAGACCTGTTTGCAAAGGGCCCTGTCTGAAGAAATCTGAGTGTGACTCCTGGGTAGGGGTTAAAACGGGAGGGCCCGCACCCTCTCCTTTTCCCAACGTGCAGCTTCATAGACCACACCACTGCTCCCCAACCCTGAGTCCTCAGTAGCTGATGGTGACCTCGGCAGAGCCACCCTCAAGACACTCATGGTCCTAGCTCTTTCCCCATCTTGTGCCCACAAGGGGTTGGAGACCCATGTCACTTTAGCTCTATACGCCCCAGCGGGGAGAAGGGCCACTTCCTTCATCTAGCTAAATAAAGCCCTTCAATTTCCAGGTTTTGGGGTATAAATCAGCCGGACAACTGGCTACACAATGGGCAGACTGAGGACTGTGTCCATATTCAGCAGAAGTGGAATGACATACGCTGTGATATCGTCTACCACTGGGTCTGCAAGAAGCCCATCAGCCAGGGTGTGAGCTGAGGGCAGGGCAGAGGTGAGAGGTCTTCCTCTTCCATAATGCCTTGGAAGCCCCTGGACTCAACTTGTTTTCTGGGACCATCAACTTGTCTTTTGTGTTTCCTGCCTGGTAGCCCAGAGGAGTCATGGGCTCCACAAAAGAGCTGTGTCAAACCCTTCTGATACCCTCGGTAACCAGCACAGGCCTGTCAGACAGCAGGCCCTCAATAAATACCTGTTGAATTAACGAAAGCTTTGTGCTTGTTTGTCTCTGTGATGATTACCACTCTCTTCTGCCTGGACTGGTTCTCTTTCCCTCAGTAACCTTTCTGTCCTGAGATGAGCATGCCTTTATTTAAAGGCTTTATAGCCAGTAACTTTTAGTTAGTTAGTTGAAAAACAGCAGAGATTTGCTGAACTACAAGTAGTAGGGGTTACAACATCCCAGGAAGTCTTAGCCATCGTGGTTGCTACCTGGATTTCCTTTGAGTGCAGATGGGGCTGGAGTTGGATTTTATTAGTCCTTTAACACACTCCAATCAGTAAATCAGTTGCCTTCAAGTTGATTCTGACTCTTGGCAACCCCATATGTGTTAGAGTAGAACTGTGCTCCAAAGGGTTTTTCATTGCTGATTTTCCAGAAGTAGTTGGCCAGGCCTTTTTTATGAGGCTCCTCTGGGTGGACTTGAACCTCCAGCCATTTGTTAAGTAGCTGAGCGTGCTAACCTTTTGCACCACCCAGAGACTTTCTGTCCTGTGGGTTGGCCTCATCACATCTTCACACTGTTAGCTCTCAGAGCCAGGTCTCTAGCTTTGGACTCTCCATTTATCCTTCCAGGAACTCAGTTTTCTGCCAACTGAGCTTAGAATGAGAATTTCTTGAGCAGTTCTTGCCCTCACCTTGTGGATCCCATCCTATGCATGCACAGGGCGCCCTGCACTGTGATGCAGACTTTTAGAGCTCTATGTCTGCAGAGCTCCTTCCTTCATACTCTGTCCCCAAATCTAGTACTCTCTGTCTCCCAGAACTTCCATCTCTCTCCACTCAGCTCAGCAAGATTGTCATGGCCTGTTTGGGACCTGCTCCCTGCCCTGTGGTCTGGAAGGCGCCTCCAGGAAGAAATCAGAGAGGTCATAGTGCCTCCCCTCATCTGCTTCCCTGTCTCAGGGACTCAAGAGTTACTGTTTTGCTCTTGTTCAATGTCTGAAAACAATTGTTTCATGTTTTTTTGTCCAGTTTCCTAGTTGCTTACAGCAAAAGCCTGGTCCAGTTACTCCATTATGACTAGAAGTGGAAGTCTGTTCTATCTTTTATGATATCTTTGACTGAACAGGACATTAACTCTTTCCTGTTCATATTTATCAGCCTTTTCCTTTATGGCTTCTAAAATTTTTATCAGTATTAGAAACTCTTCTTGGGTGGTGTAAATGGTTAACACACTCAGCTGCTAATCGAAAGGTTGGAGGTTTGAGTTCACTCAGAAGTGCCGCAGAAGAAAGGTCTGTTGATCTACTTCTGAAACAAATCAGCCATTGAAAACAAGTTCTACTCTAACACATATGGGATCACCATGAGTTGGAGTTGACTTGAGGGCAACTGGTACTGGTATAGTCCTAGTACTTTTATAGTTTTATTCTTTACATTTACATGATTAATCTATCTGGGATTAATATTAACATATTTTGAGACTATTATGAGGTAAAATTGTCCCTGTTGTACAAATGGTTATGTGCTCAACTACTAGCTGAAAGGTTGGCAGTTCAAATCCACCCAGAGGTACCTTGGAAGACAAGCCTTGTGATCTGCTTCTGAAAGCTTCCAGCCTAGAAAACTACATGGAGCAGTTCTACTCTGCACACATGGGGTCGCTATGAGTTGGAATTGACTCAATAGCAACTAATAACACCAACAACATGAAGCAGGCATCTATTTTTTCTTGATTATCATTAGATCATAACCTATTCATCTTTTTCACTCATTTGAAAAACCAACTTTATCACATATTAAATTTTTGAGCTTTTTCTGGACTCTTGATTGCGTTCCAATGAGCTCTCTTTCCCCTTATTGGAACCACACTGTTTTAATTATTGTAGCTTTATATGTTTTGTTATTCAGTATGACAAGTCCTCCTGTAGTACAGGGCTTGGTGACTGGTAAATTTCACTGAAGGGCATAAGTTGGCTAGCTGGATTTTTCATTGGATCATGCCCAGGTTTCATCATCTACAGGTCATTTCTCTTAAGCCAGTTTCCTCACAAAGGAATTCTCCAATCGCTGTCTTCAATGCCTGGGAAACAGAAGCTCAGCCGTCAGCATTCTAGAGCCCAAGTGGTGAGAGGAGGCTGGCATCTCACTGTTTATTATAGAGATGTCCCCTGGATCTCCTTGCTTTCGGTCTGGCTGTGCAAACCTCTCTGGATATAAACCTCCCTCCTGCTGTGGTGCCGTGGGGGCTGTTGCCTGCTTACAGGAGATAGTGGAGGGGATGGGTAAGCTCTAAATGGTACTCGTAAAACTTTCAGCCAGTTCTCCTCTTTTCTGCCCTGCATCCCTGCCTTTAGAAGTAACACATACTTTTGAGTTGTGAGCTTACTGGGCTTCTGAAGCATAGATTGTCCTGCTGTTAATTCACTGCCTCTCTTGCCAGCTACTGCCAATTGTTGTTAGGTGCCATCAAGTCGGTTCTGACTCATAGTGACCCTATGTACAACAGAATGAAACACTGCCCGGTCCTGTGCCATCTTCACTATCGTTGCTGTGTTTCAGCTCATTGTTGCAGCCACTGTGTTAATCCCTCTCATCGAGGGTCTTCCGCTTTTTAGCTGACCTTCTGCTTTACCAAACATGATGTTCTTCTCCAAGGATTGGTCCCTCTTGATAACATATCCAAAGCACATAAGATGAAGCCTCCCCATCCTCACTTCTAAGGAGCATTTTGGCTGTACTTCTTCCAAGACAGATTTGTTCATTCTTCTGGCAGTCTACAGTATA